CTCTGCAACCTCCACCTCCTGGGTCCAATCAATTCTCTTGCCTCAGCCTCCCAGGTAGCTGGGACTACAGGCACACGCCATCACGCCCGACTAATTTTTTGTATTTTTTTTTAGTAGAGATGAGGTTTTACCATGTTGCACAGGCTGGTTACGAACTCCTGAGCTCAGGTGGTCCGTCTATCTTGACCTCCCAAAGTGCAGGGATTACAGGTGTGAACCACCGTGCCCAGCCCCTGCCTCGATTCTCTTAGGGATCTCCTACTCAACCTTCAAGCCCCGATCTAGAGGCTTCCACCTCAGGGCACCCACCGCATGCTGCTTCTCTGCACTGCCTGTGCCACACAGCCTCTACCCTGACCAGGCTCTCTGGGATGGCAAGGGTGACAGCTGTTGGCTGGTGGCCTCCCTGGAGTCCGGCGTAGGCAGAGGGATGTGCATGGATGCAACGAGTAGCCCCGCACTCACCCTGCATGTAGATGACCAGCAGCGTGTAGCAGATGGTGAGCGGCGTCCAGAACCGCACGGCCTCCGAGGTGGTCAGAAAGTCCCGGTTGATGAGGGCCACTGCTGCCAGGTCACCCACGGCAAAGGCCACGGCCAGGGCGCGGCCCAGCAGCCGGGGGAGGTCGTGCACACCGGCCAGCAGGCCCAGGCACACCCCACAGTAGCGCTGGCTGCTGTGCAGCTCGTAGAGGCGGCAGACGTGGCGGTGGAGGCGCCGGGCGCCCAGGCCCAGCAGCGTGGCCAGCCCGAGGCTGAGCAGCAGGTTCAGCGTGCGGTGAGGGGCGCCCTCCTGCAGGAAGCTCAGGCCGCAGCTCAGCCCGCAGCCCAGCGAGTACTGGCACAGCAGGTAGAGCTGCAGCCTCTCAGGGCCCCGGGAGCCCTGTGGGGAGTGGCAGAAGAGGGGCCGGAGATGTGGGGACTGCCCCACTACAGATGCCGCACGCCACAGGAGGCTGACCTTGGGGACGGTTCCCAAAGGGGCCACATCCCGCTTCAGATGAAGCCCTAGGGGATCATCTCTCTCACCTTAATTTCAATCATGTCTCTCTTTTTTTTTGAGACAGAGTCTTGCTCCGTCACCTAGGCTGAAGTGCAATGGCATGATCTCTGCTCACTGCAAGCTCTGCCTCCTGGGTTCAAGAGATTTGCCTGCCCCAGCCTCCTGAGTAGCTGGGATTACAGGTGCTCACCACCACGCCTAATTTTTATTTTTTATTTTTTGAGACGGACTCATGCTCTATCACCCAGGCTGGAGTGCAGTGGCCTGATCTCGGCTCACTGCAACCTCTCTGCCTCTCAGGTTCAGCAATTCTCTTGCCTCAGCCTCCTGAGTAGCTGGGATTACAGGCAAACACCACCACACCCAGCTAATTTTTTTGTGTTTTTAGTAGAGATGGAGTTTCACCATGTTCACCAGGTTGGTCTTGAACTGGTGACCTCGTGATCTACTCGCCTCGGCCTCCCAAAATGCTGAGATTACAGGCATGAGCTACCCGTTTATTTTATTTTTTTAGTAGAGATGGTGTTTCTCCATGTTGGCCAGGCTAGTCTCGAAATCCTAACCTCTGGTGATCTGCCCTTCTCAGCCTCCCAAAGTGCTGGGATTACAGGGGTAAGCCACCATGCTGGGCCGTCAGTCACATCTTAGTACTTGGGGCCCATCTGTTAGCTGAAGGGTGGTGGTTGAGAATCTCAGAGCCCTGGGTTCAAAGCCTGGCTCTGCCTGTTGACCATAGACAAGCCACGTGATCTCTCTGAGCCTTAGTTCCCTCATCTGTGAAATGGGGAATCCCAGCAAACCTTCATCCCTGTGGCTGTGAGGATGACGTGATGCACACAACGCATTTGGCGCAGGGCCTGGCATTGGGGGAGCCCGATCCACAGGAGCTGTCGCTCTTGTCATCTTGGGACTGGGACCGTATCCCCCGTGAGTGTGGCTGCTTCAGCAACCAAGCCCAAGGGTGCATCCTGCAGCCTCTGTTCTCAGTCTTAGGGCAAATACGGTGAAGAGGCTGGGATGCTGGAGCTGGGCCCTGCTGCCCACGTTCCGGGGGTGAGTCCAGGCCCTAGGCTGCGGAGTGATCCACCCACTGCCTTCCCTGAGGCCTCACCTTGCCCAGGGACAGCAGTGTGGACACGGCCCGGAGGGAGAACTCGAGCACCACGAGGGCAGCCACCCGGGACCCCACGACCGTCAGGAACAGGGCCAGCCCTGCCAGGTGCACCATTTCCAGCGAGGCCCACTGGGTCCGCAACCGCTCCTTTTCCGGCCGCCACTGCGGGTCACTGTGGGGACAGAATGGTTGTGGCCAGGGGTGCAGAACCGCCCTAGACCCCTGTTGGGGGTGGGGTCCCCAGCCACACCCCCTGGGGGATGAGGTGGGCACTCACTTGGCACAGCCCACGAAGAAGTAAACTTTCAGGAGGCTGTTCAGGACCAAGACTCCAAGGGCCCCGACCAGGCCTAAGGGGGCATGCAGGGGTGTCAGGGGGGCAGGCTTGGTTGATAGGGTCAGAGGTGGGGGCGGCCATAGGGTGGGGGTGGTGGAAGACCGTGTGGGTGAGGTCCACCTTGTGCCAAGAAGAGCTGGAAGGGGGCAGGGCCGAGGTGGGAATGGGGCAAGGGGCTCACCTTGTAGGAGGGAGTCGAGGAGGCTGGAGCCCCACTCGAGGGAGGGGAGGCCAGGGAGCCAGGAGGGGAGGGACGGCAGGGAGAACATGGCACCCCGGGAACCAGCCTCAGCCTCCGGCCAGATCTGCACAGGGACAGACCCACCTCACGGGGCAAAGGTGTCAGTGGAGGGGAGAGGCTGGGAGGGGTCAAAGGCCAGGGGAAGGGAGGGGAGGAGCGACAGGGGCGTTAACCCTTTGAGGCCCAGAAGGGCAAGGTCCCAGCTCCAGGCACAGGGGGAGTCTGGAGCCAGCCATTTGGGCAGCGTGGGGTGAGGGGCAGGTACCTCTGGCTGGTCTCTGGTCTCCGGTCTGGTCCCTGCCAAAGTCTGGCATCCACTTTACTTGAAATCTTCCTTGAGGCTTTGGACCACCCAATGCCCCCTGGAAGCCCCAGGCTCCATCTGTGCTGCCCAGCCTTAGGTGTGGGTCCTAGCCTCTCGCAGCGTGAAGTGTGGGCTCTGCCCCTTTAGCCCAAGGTCTGAGGGTAGGACTTATCCCCCCATAGCCAGAGATCAGCTGTGCCCTCTCAGCCTGAAGTCTGGGGCTCTACCCTCCTATAGCAGGAGGTCAGGCTTTGCCCCCCGAGCCCGAGGTCTGGGGCTCTCTCTCTCTCCCCCTCAGCCCGAGGTCTGGGGCTCTCTCTCTCTCCCCCTCAGCCCGAGGTCTGGGGCTCTCCCTCCCCCTCAGCCCCAGGTCTGGGGCTCTCTCTCCCCCTCAGCCCGAGGTCTGGGGCTCTCCCTCCCCCTCAGCCCGAGGTCTGGGGCTCTCCCTCCCCCTCAGCCCGAGGTCTGGGGCTCTCCCTCCCCCTCAGCCCGAGGTCTGGGGCTCTCTCCCACCACAGCCGGAGGTCAGCTCTGCCTGCTTTTTGTGAGGTCGGTTCCAGCTTCCCAGAGCCTTTGGTCTGGCTCCGGCTGGTGTGGGATCTCCCGCGGCCCGAGCCTGCCTGAGCCTTCCCTTCCCGCAGGCCGCGGCAGCCCTTCTTGATGCTCCTCCCCAGGTCCACTAGGTGGCAGGCCTCACCCGGGTCTGGCAGGGCGGGGCTGAGCAGGTGGGCAGCGTTCCCATCCTGCTTTCACAGACAGAAAGGGCAGAGGGAGCCGAGGGTGGGGGTCGGGGACGGGGGAGACTGAGATTGACCGCAGAGGGGGGTCATTGAAGTAAACAAAGTAGAAAACTTTATTGGTTTGGAGCGTGCAGCAGCAGGTGTTCCTGGGAGCAGCCCTTACAGACGGGGTGTGGCGGGGGGGAGGTGGGGGTGGGCCCAGGCCATCCTGCCCCTGCCACGGAGCTGCTGTCCATCTCTGCAGTGTAGAGGCTGGTGTGGCGTTGAGAGCACGCCCGTGGGGAGCGGTGCTCAGTCTAGAGAAGGGGCCCACGGCCTGCTGCTGGCCCTGCCACATCGCTTCCCTTTCCCGGGTTTCAGTCCCCTCATCTGAACAGGGGGCACCCGGAGTGCCTTTCAGGTTTGTCGGGATGTGTGCAAATGGCCACAGTGAGGGCAGCTGGCAGGCCCTCCGTGAGAGCCATTACATGGTGCTGGCTGAACTGCGGTCCCTGCAAATGTGCATGTTTAATGTTTAATCCTCCCCCAGCAGCTCTGGATGCCACTGTATATGGGGATAGGGTCTTGACAGAGATAATTAAGTTAAAATGAGGCCAAGTGAGGTGGCTCATGCCTGTGATCCCAGCACTATGGGAGGCCGAGACCAGTGGATCACCTGAGGTCAGGAGTTTAAGACCAGTCTGGCCAACATGGTGAAACCCCATCTCTGCTAAAAATTCAAAAATTAGCTGAGTGTGGTGGTGGCCACCTGTAATTCTAGCTACCCAGGAAGCTGGGGCAGGAGAACTGCTGGAACCTGGGAGGCGGAGGTTGCAGTGAGCCGAGATTGTGCCACTGCACTCCAGTTTAGGTGACAGGGTGAGACTTTGTCTCAAAAAAAAAAAAAAAAAGAAAAAGTTAAAGTGTGGTCATGAGGATGGGCCCTAAGCCAACATGATTTGCGTCCTTATAAGAGGAGGAGATCAGGGCTGGGCATGGTGGCTCATGCCTGTAATCTCAGCACTTTGGGAGGCCAGGGTGGGCAGATCATGAGGTCAGGAGTTCAACACCAACCTGACCAACAAGATGAAATCTTGTCTCTACTAAAAATACAAAAATTAGCTGGGCGTGGTGGTGCACGCCTGTAATCTCAGCTACTCAGGAGGCTGAGGCAGGAGAATTGATTGAACCCAGGAGGCAGAGATTGCAGTGAACCGAGATCACACCACTGCACTCCAGCCCGGGCAACAGAGAGACTCTGTAACAACAATAACAACAAAAAAAAATAGGAGGAGATCAGGACCCGGACTCACACCCACACAAGGGACCACCACGTGCAGACACAGGGAGAATGCGGCATCTGCAAGCCATGGGGAGAGGCCTCAGATGAAACCAGCCCGCTGATACCTTGGTCTCGAGCATCCAGCCTCCAGAACTGTGAGAAAATAGATTTCTCTAGTCTACGTCGCCCAGTCTGTGGTTCTTTGTTACGGCTGCCCCAGCAAATGAGGCAGGTGACAACAGCGCAGCCTCCGGGTACACCCCAGCTCTTGCTATACACAGTGATCCCTCAGGGCAGTCCCGGCCCACAGGCCTGGCACAGTCACACACTTGTCAAGTGCATAGGTCTGGGGTAAGCAGGGCTAAGTTCCAGTCCTGGCTCTGTACTTCAAAGTTGTGTGGCTGTGGTCAAAGCCACATCACTGCTCTCAGCCTCTGCTTTCTGATGGTAAAAGAGGGCAAAATGTCTGCCTTGAGCTGCTGTCTGAGGCCTGAGTGAGCTGATGGATGTAAGTCCCTGGGCCCATGCTGTGTGCATGCCTGCAGCAGTTGTTATGACTGAGTAAGGCTCTGGGATGCGGAGACCCAGTGCAGAGAAGGAAGAGAACTCTCTGGAAGACAGAATGGGTGGTAACTTGAAGTGGATGTTCTGGCCCTGGGTGGGCCATGGGCTGGGTGCCAGAGCTGTTCCACACTCTCCTGGGGTCTGTGGCAGGGCCTGGGCCTGTGGTCCCTCATGGGACAGCCGGTCGTGCCAGGGCAGGCCCTCACTTCTGGCCAAGTGCCGGGCCATGTCAGGACGTGGGGATGAGGGCCGCCGCCTAGGTGCCCTGGTGCTGGGCCCGCCCAGCCAGTTTCCGAAGCTCGTCCCAGAAGAGCATGCTGAGGATGGTGTGGGGGCCCAGGCGCAGGTAGGCGGGGCCCAGGCCTTTGTAGAGTGCCAGGGGGCCCTCCTGCTGCCAGATCTTCACCATGCAGTTGGTGAGGCCCCCATACAGCTGGCCCTGGGGACAGACATGCGGTGGGTGTCACTACAGGGACCGTGGGGCCCTGGCTCACACCACATCTTGGCACAAGGGTCAATTTCACCCCTGCACACCCTGTGGACAGTACCTTTGATTGGACACATCTGTGAGGCTGCTGGGAAGGCCGTGGGATCAGGCCTGAATTCTAGTACTGGCTCCTCCACTTACCGGCTGGGGGGCCTCATGCAAGTCACTTGATCTGTCTGAACCTGTTTCCTCATCAGGAAGATGAATATGATTATAAGGATAGAATAAAATCTGGATGTGAAAGTGCTTAGCCTGTGCCTGGGACATGGGAGCTCAGCAAACAAGCCCAGTTAGTGTTTGCATGCATGGCCTGTGTTCGTGTGTCTCTGGCTGTGTGTGTGTGTGTGTGTGTGTGTGTGTGTGTGTGTGTTGGGGTGTGCTCCCAGCTCCCCACATCCTCCCTTAGACCCATCCCTGCTCACCCTGCCAGCTCTGTCCACTGGCTGATTGTATAGCCGCGTGCTGGCCACATCGAAGGGGGTCATGACGACAACCACGGCTATGCTGCTGATCATGCCCCCAGCCAGGGCCACCAGCCAGCTGTCTGCCGGGAGCCACTGTGGGGATGGCACAGGTGCTGACCCCTGCAAATGCCCTCTACCCACCCACGTGGTACCCTCCCAGCCTCCTACTACACAGGGGCTAGAAGGGCTGCGGAAAGGGGAGCAGATGAGGCCCCTCTAGCCATCCCCCAGCCCTGCCACCCTGAGCTCCTTCTCAGCTTTGGGGTTCACTGCTGACCCCCCACTCCTGCTGGTACCAAGGGCTGGAGTCACCACTCTGAGGGCAGAGGCGGGGCCCCATCTGTTGCCACACCCAGTCTTCTCCATGTGAAAGGAGGCAGGTGGCCCCTCAGTCCCGTGTGTCTGTGTGGGTGGGCACAGGGGTCCCCAGCTCCTCACCTGTTGTTCCTGCACCCAGGCCTTGGCAGAGGCGAAGGTGGCCAGCTGGGCAGCTGAGCCCACCATGACTCGGGGCACAGCCCCACCCACGCCCTGCCACAGCCCGACCAGACCCTGCTGCCGCCAGATCGTCTCCAAGGCACCCAGGAGGGTCTGTGGGGAGAGGGCTCGGGGTCACTGGCCAGCCCCTGCCCAGGCTGGGAGCATGCCCAGTCCATGCCGCCAGTGAGCTCTGGGAGTGACCAGGGCCTCACCTGGTGATTGTGCTGGTGTCCCACGGCCATCTCAGCCACTGTCTGGGCTTGCAGCTGTGTTTTGATCTGTGGGAGCAGAGGGGACATGGGGTTTGGGGATGGAGCTTGGGAGAGCTGGGACGAGCTGTGTGTGTTGAGGGTGCCCCCACCTCTGTGCCCCTGAAACTCAGAGCTCCATGGTCCCAAGCCTGAAGCTTCGGGGTGCTGTGGAATAGGGTGGAGGTGCAGCTCTGGGGTCAGCCTGGGTTTTGCATCTTGGTGTGACTCAGAGCAAGTTACGGAACCCTCTCTTGGTGGTTCTGTCATGGCTGGAAAGCTGTTCTGAGGATTAAGTGAGGCAACGACTGTCCAGCACCAGCCGAGGAGGGGAGACTTTCTCAAGGGTAGCTTTTTTTCTGTGGCCCAGGCTAAAGTGCAGTGCCACGACCTCAGCTCACTACAACCTCTGCCTCCTGGGCCCAGGCGATTCTCCTGCCTCAGCCTCCCCAGTAGCTGGGATTTATAGGCATGCACCGCCATGCCCAGTTAATTTTTGTACTTTTTAGTAGAGACAGGATTTCACCCTGTTGGTCAGGCTGGTCTCAAACTCCTGACCTCAGGTGATCTGCCCACCTTGGCCTCCCAAAGTGCTGGGATTACAGGCTTGAGCAACCGCACCCAGCCCGTGGTAGCTTTTTTCAAAAAAATCTTTATTTTAGGCCGGGCGCAGTGGCTCACGCCTGTAATCCCAGCACTTTGGGAGGCCGAGGTGGGTGGATCACGAGGTCAAGAGATCGAGACCATCCTGGTCAACACAGTGAAACCCTGTCTCTACTAAAAACTACAAAAATTATCTGGGCACAGTGGCGCGTGCCTGTAATCCCAGCTACTCAGGAGGCTGAGGCAGGAGAATTGCCTGAACCCAGGAGGCGGAGGTTGCGGTGAGCCGAGATCGCGCCATTGCACTCCAGCCTGGGTAACAAGAGTGAAACTCTGTCTCAAAAAAAAAAAAAAAAAAAGAAAAAAAAAATCTTTATTTTTTTGGGGTGGTCCTGAGGTACCCCTGCAGAGTGCACAAGAGGAGGCCATCAAGGGTAGCTTTTATTTATTTATATATTTATTTATTTTAAGATGGGGTTTCACCAAGATGGCCAGGCTGGTCTTGAACTCCTGACCGCAGGTGATCCACCCACCTCGGTCTCCCAAAGTGCTAGGATTACAGGCGTCAGCCACCGCGCCTGGCGCTTTTATTCTTTTGTTTTGTTTTGTTTTGTTTTTTGAGATGGAGTTTCACTGTCGCCCAGGCTGGAGTGCAGTAGTGTGATCCTGGCTCACTGCAACCTCTGCCTCCCAGGTTCAAGCAATTCTCCTGCCTCAGCCTCCTGAGCAGATGGGATTATAGGCGCGTGCCATCACACCCTGCTAATTTTTGTATTTTTAGTAGAGACAGGGTTTCATCGTGTTGGTCAGGCTGGTCTTGAACTCCTGACCTTGTGATCCTTCTGCCTCAGCCTCCCAAAGTGCTGGGATTACAGGTGTGAGCCACTGTGCCCAGCCGGGTAGCTTTTATTGTTAACATACATGAGGCAACACAGGAAGAGAAGTAACCCAGCCAGGATTTGAGCCAACACATCTGCCACCCTCTGCCCCTCCCTTGGTTCAGGACCAGTGGGTCAGGGTCCCCAGGAGAGCATGGATCAGGGCAGGGCCCTGGTGTCCTGGGCTAAGGGGCAGATTCCAGGCCTGGGCCAGGATGTTCCAGGGAGCAGCCCCACCCAGGCTGCCCTACCCCACCCAGGTCCACTGAGCCCAGCCTTGCAGGCTGCTGGGCCCCTGTGGGATATGGGTCACGGGATGGTGGAGGATGGAGACAAGGACTCACCAGGTAAGCAGGGCTCCCCACGAAGGCTCCTAGGGCCCCTGCCACGGCTCCCGCAACCACAATGCCACCTGGCTGCTGCGTGAGGCCAGCCTGGCATGCCAGGCTGTAGCAGTAGAAACGGACGCTGTTCATGAGGCCTTGGTACAGCAGGCCGGCAGCCAGCCCCTTCTGCAGGCCCCACAGCCCGTCTGCTCGGGCCACGGCAGCCACAGAGGCCATGAAGCCCCGGTAGGGCCGTGGGTAGGTGCCCCGGGCTTGCAGCTCCCCCTGCAATTGCAGCCGCGTCTTCACCACCTCCAGGGGGTTGGTGAAGACACAGGCCAGGCAGCAGGCCGAGGCACCCAACACCAGGTCCACTGCTGGGGGCACCGTCTCCCCGGCCTCTGGGCCAGTGGCCTTCTGTGCCCGGGTCAGGGGCATGGCACAGGCCCTGTGGTGGTGGCGTTTAGGCTGTCTGTAACCTCACAGGGCCATGGGGCTGGGGTTTGCCGAGGCCCGAGGCCATGTCTAGAGGGCAAGCGTCCTGGTCTGACAGGCCCGTGGCTGCCTGGAGGCCCTGGTCTATCTCAGGAGTCCACCTGCTCTGCTCAGCTTCTCCAGGGGTCTGTCGGTGCCTTTGACACGCCTCCACCGGCTGTGACCAATCCCAGCTGCCTCTGTCACCACACCTTCCAGCAAAGGGCGGGCCTGGACCCTGGGATCTGGGGGAAAGGTCACTTGGGACTAGAAGGAGAGCGAGGGTAGGGAGAAGGTGCCAACCAGCCCAGGCATCTCCTCCTGGCCTCCCTGTGGTCCTGGGCAAAGGGCTGGCACCCCTGCCTTGCCTCTAGTTTAGCCTGTCCAGCTTTGGCACAGCCCTGGGCAGGGGGGCAAGTGACTGGGAAGTCCCTGGCATGGGGTACATGGGCAACACCGCCCCTGCCTCACCCATCCCTGATGTGCCCCTGGTGACTGACTTCCCCTTTCCAGGACTCAGTCTTCCAGTCTGGCTCCCACCATCTACAAGCCCAGGCTCAGCACGGGCAGAGGTAGAGAAGGGCTCTGGAGCCCTGGGAGCTGATTGGAATCGCAGGTGCTGCTCTCATGTGCGAACCTGGGCAAGTCACTTCCTCTCAGTGCTTCAGTTTCTCTCATTTGTGAAATGGAGATACTGACATCACTCCAGAAGTTTCTGTGGAGGACTGGCAACGAGAATAGTGTGCCTAGGACAGTGCTGCACCCAACAAAAGGCACCCACATCTGCTGCTAGCCACCATCCCCACTGCCTCTGGCTCCTATGCTCCTCTCGCTTCCCCCAGGACTTCAGGGCCCTGGGTGAGGAGGACTCGAGAGTGACCTTGGCTGGTAAAGACTTGCTGCCAGGCCTGCCCTCCTGCTGGGGGAGCTCCTCCTGGGCTGGGAAGGAGGCTTGGCTACTCCCTGCAGGAATGGCCAGGTGGCCAGTGGGACAGGAGGCAGCCCTGGTGAGGAGAGAAAGCCACCCAGGCCTGCTGTCAGGTGTGTCTGCTCAGGCTGGGGCCAGCACCGCCGTGCTCACCTGGGCCTCTGCCCCCAGACAGTTCTTTCCTGCCAGGCCTCCCTCAATCATCCAAGGCCCATTCCAAACCAGAGGTAGGGCCACCAGGGCTGGAGTCCACACCCGCCTCCCGGGGCCCACCCCTTCCTGCCCAGGCCCTTGAGGCAGCAATGCTGAGTGGCTTGAGGGTCTTGGGTTCCCCAGCCGGGCAGGCTTGTCATCCTCTGGACAGCCAAGGAGGGGAGGGCTCAGGAAGAGGCAGCGAGGACAGCTTGGATTCTCCTGGGTTTGTTTCGAGAGCAGCAGGCACTCACTCCGGGGGCTGTCGGGTCAGGAGTGCCCTGCCCAGGGGAGACTGCAGGTGGTGGGCAGGTGGGCAGCAGTGCAGATGCGCCTTGGGACTGGAGCTGGTGGCTGCTCCTCCCCTGGTTGCTGCAGCAAACAGGAACAGGAGGGAGGGCAAAGGTCAGGCCGAGAAAATCGCAGAGCCTGAGAGCCTGCAGACCGTGAGTCCACCCGGCAGCTGTGGCTGATCGGGTTCTGCATGTCGCACGTGTCCTGTGTCACGGACAGGGCAGATAATGGAGGGATGTTTGCAGAAAAAGGGCTTAGGGGGTTTAGAGACCTCCCTTCCCCTACCATGCTCAAAAAGGGCCAGTGACAAGCCTCGGCAATATAACGTCTATTTTATTTTAAAAAACAAAACCCACACCACCTGACCCCTTCCCCAGGAGGCTCTTGACAAAACTCTAGGGAAGGGCCTGGCTCCAGCCAAGCAGGGGCAGTCAGGAGATGTCTACATGGATGCCAGGCTGGTAGCTCTGCCCTTCTCTAAGCCCCCCATCCATCCGTTTTGCTCCTGGGTGCTACAGGCACTGCCGGGTTGAAGGGAGAGGCAGGGCAGGGCCGTGGGCATGCAGGGCCTCCTGACAGCCAGGGAGGGCCACTGCCCCTGCATCTGGTGAGGCAGGCAGCTGTGTGCGCAGTGATGGAGCTAGGAGGAGGAAGCATGCGCAGACACCCCATGTTCCCGCTTCCCCACGTGGCCAGGGGAGTGTCCAAACACGAACAAGGATGGCTGGGCACTCAGGGCCCCCAGGCAGCCCTGAGCCTCTGACTGGGCCCCTGACCCAGGAGAGGAAGAGGTGGCTTCCGCCCTCCTGTTTCTTTTGCTGTTCCTTAGATCCATGCTGTTCTCAGTGCCACTCCGCAGATTCTACAGACTGAGGCAGAGGCCCGGAGGAGGGTGTGCATCTGCAGAGCCCTGTGACCCCAGTGACCTCCATCCGCCACCTGTCGGGCAGGATGCCCAGGGGTGCTGGGGACCCGTTCTGGATCCCTGGAGTGGAGAGACTCTCTGCCTCAAGCCACACTCGGTGGTGCTGTCGCCTGGGGCGGGGGTGGGCTGTAGGCTTCCAACAGCATGGCGACAGCCGTGACAGTGTGCCTGCCGGTTGGCATGCCTTCCTTTCCTGCCCACCGGGGATGCCAACCAGCTCTGCCTCAGCACCAGGGGTCCCGGGAGGCTCGGCCTCGACAGAGGCTGTCGCTCCGCTGCCAGGCGCTGTGGATGAGGCTCAAGGCATCCTCGAATTTCTTCTTGTTGGAGGCTTCCTGGATCGCTGTGTGGGGGAGGTCCACCTGTGTTGGGGGCGTGCAGAGAACAGATGAGGGCCGCAGGGGCCTTCAGGGCTTATGGGCACCAGGCCTGGCTCTGCCTTGGCCACGGAGCCCCTGTCCGACCCTCCCCATCACTCTCTGGGAACAGCTTTCCCGCTGCTAGGTTCTCCTGCTCTTTCAGGGGCTTGAGCTGGGGTAGTGCCTCCTGCAGCCCCTCTTTCCTGGGAAGGCCCCAGCTCTTAGGATGGCCCAGAGAGGCAGGTGCAGCATTCTGTTGGCTCTGCAGGGAGTACGTCAGTCCTGGGCTGTTCTCTGCCTCTGGCTAGTCCTGGCTTCCACAGGGCTAGCGCACAGCATGTGCTCAAAACCCACTTGTGCAGGCAACTCACGAGTACCCTCCCACACTGGCGCTAAGCCTTAAGGGCAAGGAAGAGGGTACTGCCCATCCTGTGCCCCACCATCTGAACACAGCTGTAGGCCCACCACAACTTGTGCTGTTTGATTGAAACTGAGGTCAGGAATTGAGTTTCTTGGGTTCTGTTTTCAGCTTTAGCTTCAGACTCACTGGGAGTCAGGTTTTTGCCTCTTTAGTTCTAAGTTTTTGTGCCTGTCCGGTGTCTGCTCAGGCTGGGGCCAGCACCACCATGCCCACCTGGGCCTCTGCCCCCAGACAGCTCTCTCCTTCCTAGCCACCCTCAATCACCCAAGCCCCAGTCCAAACCAGAGGCAGAGCCACCCGGGGTAGAGTCCCCCACCCACCTCCTGGAGCCCACTCCTTCCCACCCAGGTCCTTGAGGCAGCAATGCTGAGTGGCTTGAGGGCCTTGGGCTCCCTGGCGTGGCAGGCTTGTCACCCTCTGGACAGCCCAGGAAGGGGTGGCTCAGCAAGAGGCGGTGAGCACAGCTTGGATTCTCCTGGGTTTGTTTTGAGAGCAGCAGGCACTCACCCCCAGGGCTGTGGAGGCAGGGGCGCCCTGGTATACTGCTGTGCCCAGGACCCCAGAGGCCAGTCCTGGGAGCAGCCAGGGTTCCTCTCTCCCTGGGGCGTGGCTCCCACTCGACAGGGTCCCTGGCTGATGGGTTTCCTGGGCAGCTGGGTACCTGGTAGATGGTTTTCCACCCAGAGTTCAGTGCAGACAGCAATCGGTCCAGTTCAGAAGTGCAGCTCAGGTAGATGACCCAGGGTGGGAGGAGCTGCTGGCTGTCCTGGGAGAACTCCTAGGGAGAGCCAGACCCCCAGGTGAGCAGACAGAGCTTTCCTTCTGCAGGGCCTGTGGGTGGGTGCCCCGCTCCCCACTCTAGCTCACCAAGACACAGTACTCCTTGCCCGGCTCGGTGGAGACGGCGCTGATATCGCCCAGCTTGGCTGTGCCCAAAGAGCGAAAGAAGCTGGTCTGGCAATCCTCATGGCACGTGAAGAGGCAGTCATCCGTGACAACCAGGCAGCAGGGGAGGCAGGGGCTGGGAGCTACACCCTGGGGGATGACCTGGCAGCAGGGCGGGGGAGAGGCAGGCTGGGCCTCCAGGGCTGGTCTGCACTGGAACTCCCCATGCCAGGGGACCCAGCCAGCCCTTCTGCTCTCCCTCCAGGGATCGGGAGCACAGGTGGGGGTGGGGGTGATGGTAGGAGTGCTCCAGGCTGCAGGTGGTCCTGAGCGCCAGGGTCCGTTCCTGGGCTGCCCCCTGGAGGTCTGTCTTGGCCCTGCGGTTGCTCTGTGACTGTGGGTTTACGGATGGGGCCTTGGGGGTCCTGGGTGGGTCAGGCAAGCCAGGTGAGCGGTGGAGGCAGGTAGAGCTCACCCCTTTGGACACGGCCTGGCAGAGGTGCTGCATCCAATCGGCCATCTCGGCCTCACTCTCGGCACTCAGCTCCAGGCAGGGCCGGTCGGAGAGAATGACCTGGAAGGCGTGGGGCCGATCCGTGGTGTTGGCTCTCCGGCAGCCACCGCACTGCTCCCCCCTGGGCCAGAGGAGGAGGGTGAAACGGGAGCGAGGAGGCAAGGGCAGCACGGGGTGCGGGGTGTGTGACGCAGGGTCTGCCCCACTGTCCTGGGGGCTGGAGGACACCAGAAGGTTCTCCAGACCCTTCCAGCTTCCAGGAGAGGTCTGGGAGCCCCACCCATTTCTGTGTAACACTTTTCATCTCCAGAATACCCAAGATCTACTAGATACTCAAGCATAGCCAGGTGAGGCTGGGAATCAGCTTTCCTTCCAGCCCACTGAGAATCGGCCGCATTCATTCATGAGTGCTTCCTCTTGAGGGCCCACTGTTCCTTCCAAGTACCTGAGTGTCCACCTCCCATCAGGCTGGGAACTTCTGGGGAAGGGCCTGCCTCCCCCATCAGACTGGACCTGTTCTCAGCCAGGAGCTCCTTGCTGCCTCCCTCCTCCCCTCCTGTGGGTTCCTTGCAACCCTAAGAGCATGGACGCCCCAGGCCACCTGTCAGGGCAGCTGGATAGGCTGGGGCTGATGGCGAGGCTGAATTCCAAGAGGGGGGCCATCTTGA